ATCTAAGGGTAGTAAATATCTCAGCTACCAGACCACAAGTGGCGCGGCAGGAACACTAGCTCAGTCACGGCGCCTGTTTTTTTTTTTTTTTAAATTAGAGTACTAGAGGCCTGGTACACGGATTTGTGCACCAGTGGGGTCCCTCGGCCTGGGCGGTGCCCTCTCGCAATCCGGGACCCCTCGGGGGATGTCAGACTGCCAGTTTCGGCCCGATCCCCACAGGCCAGGCCTAGGGACCCCACAGGTGCATGGATTCATGCACCGGGCCTCTAGTATGCATATAAAATCTTTGGTTAATCTCTTCCCGCCCTCTCTCCTCCCCTCTTCCCTCTGAGATTCATCGGTCTGTTCCATGTTTCCATGCCTGTGCGTTGAGCATCTGCCCCCTGGTGGTCAGTGTGTGTCATAGCTACCAGTTGAATGGTCGCTTAGGCTTTTATATATATAGATGTGCAGATTTCTGAAGAATTACAAATATGTAGTTTTTTTTTTTAATATATTTTATTGATTTTTTACAGAGAGGAAGGGAGAGAGATAGAGAATCAGAAACATCGATGAGAGAGAAACATCGACCAGCTGCCTCCTGCACATCCTCTACCGGGGATGTGCTCACAACCCAGGTACATGCCCTTGACCGGAATCGAACCTGGGACCTTTCAGTCCGCAGCCCGACTCTATCCACTGAGCCAAACCGGTTTCGGCCAAATATGTAGTTATTTATCTACATGCATTATTTTTGATAGATATCTGTTTTTATTTTTTAAATATGTTTGATTGATTTCAGAAAGGAAGGGAGAGGAAGAAAGGGATAGAAACATCCATGATGAGAGAGAATCATTGATCAGCTGCCTCCTTCATGCCCCTACTGGGGATCGAGCCTGCAACCCGGGAATATGCCCTGACCTGGAATCAAACTGTGACCTCCTGGTTCATAGGTCAAAGTTCAATCACTGAGCCACACTGGTCCTGGCATTAGATATCTATTTTTAAATGCAGAAAAGCCCATGCCCTATCTATATATGGGTGAGGATAATTTGTAAATCTTCAGAAATAGTCTCATCTCAAGAACATCTTTCCTTAAAAAATGTGTAACATTTCTGTACAAAATAAAGTTAAACAGTAGAATTAGATAACTTTCCATTTTCTTTTAACAGGAATATAAATGTTTTGCTAATAAGAAAGCTATTATTTTTTAAAATAGCAACCAGCACCGATATTACCCATTATTTATTTTCTTTGAAATATTTATTCTGCAGAAATTGTGTGTGAAAAATTATCTGCAGAACAGGGGAAGTGCTATGCGTAGCAATGAGAAATTTCTCACCTCTCCTGTGGGCGAGAACAACAGTTGTTGCTGCTATTGCTCTGCAGAACAGCACCTGCCCCCAGTTGAGGTGCTTAGTTCCAGAATCTAAAAAGTGATAACGGTTCTACTCTCCTTGGGACTGGGGTACTTTAAAACATGCGTCTGCAGGTTCGACTGAAATTAAAACTTATTTTGATTTGAAAACATAACGTAGTCAACAAAAGCTTCTGCCTTTTTTTCGTCGCAATGCTAACACAAAACAGTTTTTAAACAAAATATTTTTGTTGGCTTCCTACTGTGATTCATGTGTTCTTTTTATTCTTTATTTCTCTGTGTCAAAATAGAAGAAACACATACCATTTCATTTTTAATGAAGCTTTCTCTGAAGCACCATTAAAAAAAAATAACCTTTACACAAACTAAAATGTTTTCTAGAGTAATTGTGTGTTATTTTCTATTCTTATATTGACTTTAATGACTAACAACCTACCATATTATGATGCATATTTGATATATTTTTTTTCAGCTAAGTAACCTGTAAACAATATAGTAGTCCATTTCCAAGATGTTAAATGATTTGTCCTATATATGTAACATTTTGAGATAATTAGAATTTCTATGACATACACCTGTATTACACATAAAATGTGTCCTGGTCACTACTCACCAGATATTTAAGCAACATGAAGCTTCTCATTTCAAAATATGCATGTAGTAATTTCCTCCACTAAACGTAAAGATGCCATTGAGTTAAATAGCAGGTATTCTGCCTATGAAGGGGCTGAGCCTTTCTTCTTAAAAACTTCACAAAGTGCACTAGGTTGTAATAATACCTGCTTATCTCATCGAGTAGCTTGTCGGTCCAGGAACTAAGATTTGGAGGAGTGCTGTGTCACCTGTAAGGCCTATATAAATGCAGGGGTATTCTGAGGGGTAAACCAGTTACCTGAGCATAAGAAGGAAGTTGCCTCTCACTAGGCGTTGAGTCTACTTTCATGAGCACGAAGCATCCTCTTTCAGGATTCAGGGGTCATGTTCTCCTCATGCATGGTGGTGAAGGTGTTTCCTCAGGATTTGGGTAATTTGTTAGAGAGTAGGAACTTCTGAGTCTACTGTTACTGAAAAAGAAGTCTATGCAGAGAGAATGAAGATGAATATAACTCCAGGCAAAGAGATCAGACACATAGAATCTCTAAAGAGCCTTATCGCCACCAAATTGAATCTAACCAACCAAAAAAGTGTGCATAAATAAATGAAAGCTAATGTTGAAATTTTGCTTACAGATAAAATGTTATGTTTTTCAGAACGCTGCAAATGTAAGCCTATTAGAGCTACACAGAAGACCTATTTCCGAAACAATTACAACTATGGTAAGGATAACTTCATGGTTGATCTATAAACTGCTGTGTAAAGAAGTGTGTGTGTGTGTGTGTGAGCAGTTCAAGAATAAGATTTAAAAGCAAATAAATAAGGACAACTTTTGAGAGGATACCTGTCCCAAATAATTAAAATGTCTGATGTGGGCAAGATTCTTAACAAATCATTGATTTTGAAGCATATCAGGCAGCAATGCTGTGTCATAGAATCATGTAACCAAGTATAGAGATACATTTCAAACTGGGCGGGAGGGACTCTCCCCCTCGAGAGCCTGAGGAGGAACTGAGCATGAGAGGTGCTTGAAGTTCAATTGAGTTTGTATTTATTTTACTTGACTTAATCAATTTTTACTTTATTCAGCTTTCATAGTGCTGCTATTATTTTTGTTGAAAGTCAAAATACTAGTGGTTGCAAGTCATGGAAAGAGAATATTTTCAACAAGGTTGCTGAAAGAATGCTGTCACATCAAATGGGATACAGATCACAATCAGTGGAAAGAAGATACTTTCTCATAACCAAACAATAATAACCAGGTTGCCTGCAGTTTAAGGATTTTCACTTGCCTGGGTCTTACTTAGAGCTTCTGTGGGGAAGGCAGGCACTCCAATGATTAAATAGCAGAAAAAAAAGCCTCTGAAAAAAATTTAAAATCCCCAAATATATTGATTTTCATAAATATCTATGTGTCTATTGAGAAAATAAAGGGGGGTGGGAGTAATTGATAACTCAGACAAAACCTCTGCTTCATTCAGAATTAGTTCAGGTAAAATTTCTTGAGCTTTCATAAAATTACTGAATAATAAAGTAAGTCTTGCAGAGAGATATTTATTTTGGAGGGGGTATGTGTGCTAAAAATTTCTAATGAAAATAGTAGCCACACTGGGTAAATAAATCATTAGTCTGAGAACGTTTGCACAGCTCACTAATCTCTAAGAGTTGATGGATGCTGCGAAGCACATTCACATAAACCAGGATCCCAAAATGTCTGCTGGCTGGGTTGTGAATTTATCATCTGATTCTCCAAAATGACATTTCCAAACGGGAAATCTTATCTTTTGTTAAAATACAGAATAGAACACTGACAGAAAGGGATGCCTTTACTCACAAGTCACACCGAGCAGGGGCAGTTGTATTTTGTTTGCTGTAAGTTCTCATATTTGAGGCACCCAATTTTCTGAAAATTAAATACCTGTGAAGCAAAAATGAGGTTTTTGTCCTAAATTTTTTAGAATTAGTAACTTAATTTCTATTGTATGTGCATTGTACTGGTGGGAAATTAGATAAGTTTCTGTATGGAGTTGGGGCATGGACGCAGCTATTAGTTGGCTAATTTTCATGGGTTACTTTTTCCCCTTTTTTTTGAGTCCAAAACTTCTAAAATATGTGGTGACTCAGATGAAAGTGATCTGCTGATATGTGCCTAAGGGGCTTTTAAAAAGGGGATTCATTTGGACACGTATTTTCCTCCATATAACATCCATGGATATTGAGCTAGAGCAATGAGGGTGCCTGGGAGAGAACCACTGGCTTCTTACAAATTGACATTTTTTACTTCGCAGCCTTTTTCAAACTCCCCCTTTAAGAAAAAAAAAGAGCTCATTTACCACAAGTAGGAATCTAAAGAATTTGGCCCCTCCAAAGAGGAGAAATACAGAAAAGAAGCAGATCTGTACTTGCTAGATTATGAGTCAAATACTTCAGCTTTGCCACTGAATTGATTATTTTTAAGGCAGTTTGTCTGTATATTGAGAAGCGAAGCCAATGCTTGTGAGATAAACTGGGTGTCGGTTTATCCATCGAGAGAGGTAGGTGAATGCAACCGACACGTTAGACTGTATTCCATAGCGCAGGCGGGGAAGGAATGTTGGAGGGTCTGACTTCAAAGAGGATGGAGGAAGCAAGATCTAGTGGTGACTGTTTTTACTAAAAAAAAAAAAAAGTCGAATGCTTACAGGAGCGTATAAAAGAAAATCTGTACTGAAACAAAAGGAAAAAGGCGCTGGTGTCTAAACCGGGAGCTAAAGTGAGGAAGGTGAAAAGGTCACAGAAACAGATTGGAAACACAGTAGAACAGGACATCTTTATAACACTAATGAGACCCCCAACTCTTTAGAGAATCCATTAATAGACCTGATAAAAGAATACTGACAAGAAAACGAAGCTTATTTAAGTACTAGGTCTTTACATGTAGTGAAATTAATAAAGTTTAAGTTCCTGTTGGCAGCAGTGGAAACTGTGGACACCCATATTCACACATCCAAATGAAATTTTGGAGGGAAATTACATCAGATTGACCCGACCTTTGATTATATAGATGCATTTTTCTCAATGAAATACACACACACACACAACTATATTTGTACACTAATTGGAAGGCGATCAGGGCTGAACATTAAGGGGACAGGTGTGTGCAGTGTGTCACTCACTAACATCTAGGACAGAAATCTGGCTGACTTTTCATCTCCATTCATTGAGCATCAAGTAGAGAAGAACTGCCTAGACAGGAGCCTACTTGTCTTCTTTGAAGGTGGCACCTATTGTGGATCACATGACCATATCAGCTTCATTGTCTTTTACCCAGTCATTCGGGCCAAAGTGAAAGAGGTCAAGACCAAGTGCCATGACGTGACTGCGGTGGTCGAGGTGAAGGAGATCCTGAAGTCTTCTCTGGTGAACATTCCAAGGGACACGGTTAACCTGTACACCAGCTCTGGCTGCCTGTGTCCTCCACTGCATGTTAATGAGGAGTACATCATCATGGGCTATGAAGACGAGGAGCGCTCCAGGTAATCGGCTCCTTAAGGATTCAGAACAATTTCTCTGCCTATCCTGTCCTACTGTCCTTCTCTAGAGATCTTACTCTGGGATTCTTAACCTGGGATCTGTCTGCCTACTAGGGGATTACAGATAGTTTTTAGTTGGGCCACTCAATTGCAAGTACTGGGTAGGGTGTATGTGTATAATTTGTGGGTGTGCATTTTTCTGGGGAGAGAGGTCATCACTTCATTTGTTCTTAAAGGGGCCCATGGCTCCCAAATAGTTAAGAATTACTGTTGTAAGACTGTAGAATCTCAGAGGGGAGGTGGGGGGTGGTGGGGGGGTGGGAAGAAATTAACCAAAGAACTTGTATGCATATATGCATAACCCATGGACACAGACAATATTGTGGCAAAGACCTGGGGCAGAGGGGCAGGTGAGGGCTAGAAGGTGTCAGTGGGGATAAAAAGGGGACTGTAATACTTTCAACAATAAAGATTAAAAAGAAATTACTATCCTAAAAAAAATTACTGTTCTAAAACGTGGTCATTCTGTTCTAGAATAAGCAGGTAAGTCTTTGCAATGGTTCCTTGTAATTTTCAGTAATGTGTTTTAATTTTCAAACGTGCTTGCTTTAAAAAATGCAGATTACTGTTGGTGGAGGGTTCTATTGCTGAAAAATGGAAGGATCGACTGGGTAAAAAAGTTAAGGTAAGCCTCTGTTTTATGTTTAAAGTGATACACAGAAAACCAGCCATTTGTCACAAACGAAGTGGCTGCGCTCAACTCCATGAGAAATATTAAAATCTGACATATGTATATATATTTAAAATTCCAGGACTGAGTTTGCTTTTAATATTGATTTCATTTAGGAAGTTCTCTGTATGCACATGAGAAATGTAACTATAGTTGCCTAACTTCTCACAATGCGAATTCTAGTTGTAGTTAGTCCAGTCCTGGTAGGGTGACTCCACGTTATCTTTAGAGCCCAGGTTCCTTCCAGCTTCCTGCTCTGCCATTTTTAAGGATATTCCTCCCATACTCACGTTCACCTGGAGGTCACAAGAGAGCTGCCCACCTCCAGCATCACACATTTTAGGGAGAAAGAAAAGAGAGGTAAAAAGGAGTTTCCAAGTGCTGCATCTAGCAACATTTACATCCGACTGGGTCTCATGTCGGTCCTTAATTGCAAGAGAGGCTGGGAACTGTAGTTTTGTTTAGCTGGGCATATTGTGTCCTTGAGCAAATTGCAGTTCTGTGAGTCACAGAAGAGAAGAAAGAATGAGTAGGAAACTACCAATATTGTCTCAATGCATAGCCACCATTTTCTATGTACAAGGTGCAGCCACATTCATCTGTATATAAAAGCTCCTTAGAGCAGTCATGTAGCTTTATTTCTGAGCCAGTGAACCTTAAATTCTGGAAGTGTTGCATTTTTTTTTTTTAATATTTTTTTATTTTTCGCTTGAAGTATTACAAAGGGTATTACATAAGTGTCCTTTTTTTTCCCCCCCGGTGTTGCATTTTTTAAAAAGCACTGTAAATTACCTTTCAGATAGAAGGTTCCATTTCTTCTATACCTATACTAAGCAAATCAGTGTCAAAGAACATGGGAGAATATATAGAGGG